CTGTGTATTTTATGTGACAGACCAGCACAGAGTACTGCATGATGTCTGTCCTCCTGAGTTAACACTGTGTGGAACTCCATGTGATAAAAGTGATCTTTAATCTTAATGTATATCTTATTTGACAATTAAAACGCAATTGAAAAAGAATGTTGTTATGAGGGCCAACTTATATGTTGTGTTTGTTCATATAGTTTCTCTCTCCAACACATGGAGAAGCTGGATCTTCTCTCTAATTTTTAACAGAAATTGACATGCGTTTGTCTTATTGATCTTGCCTGCTTCTTCAACTCGTGATTCATCAGTTGTCTTTGCTTTTCCCCCCCAACAGTCGACAGGCTAACCGGGACCTGACTGAGGTGCTGAATAAACTCTGGCAACTGGACACAAACCGTCTGAAGCCGGGAACTGACTACAAAATCTCCCTTCAGGTCAGTCCTGCATGTTGCAATAGATGCACACCTACCTGGAAGGGAACTTAGATTAACTTCTAACATCAACACATGAAAAGCTCAGTACTTTCTGCTTGACTTAACATTAATAAGTAAGTATTTTCTTTGGATTAACTAAAAAATTTAATAGCAAAAGGTGCCTAATATGAGATTTATTATTAACAGAATTTGAACCAGGTGAAGCTAAACCTGCGATTTGGAGAGTTGTTAATAGAACTTATTTACAGAGACAGAATGTTTTTCTTTTATCTTAAATGCAAAATGTACATATTTCTTGTACAGTTTCAGCTTAATTACTGCTCTGCTCTCTTTCAGCAAATGGCCTTTTTGGAGTCTGTGTAATCCAGTCAAAGATTAATTGATTACTAAATTAGATAATGATTATTTCATCATCGATTAATCACGATTAATGGTTTCAGCTCTAAGTGTGTAATGACAAGCTCTGTTTGCTTACCGTATTCTGATTCTCTCTGTCTCAGGGCAGAGCGGGTTATGTGGCGCAGGGCAGTAACTACGCCAGAGATCGGGCCCACGCTCCTCTCTTTTCCTACGTCGATGAGGGAAAGCTGAAAAACATTGAGACGTTTGCTCGTAAGTATCAGTTTAACATCGTTTTGGTTTTCTAGAACCTTGCTTTCACCACGTCTGATGTTTATGCTTGTAACTTCAGATTTTATCAACTTGCTGGACAACTATGAGATGTCTACAGGCGTGTCAGAGACGGTCACTTCAGAGGAGCTTCAAGAGAATCGGCTCTTTATTGACTCCATCATGGAGACTGAGCTCATGAAGGTACAAAAGCTTTGGAGCTGACCTGGTACAAGCTCCCTTTACCAAAACACATAAATATTGTTCTGCCTTGTGCCAAACACTGTTCAGATGGATGTTATGCTATAAAGGCCAGCTAATAATCAGACCAAAAAGCAGATTCTTAATGTGAGACTGTACTGTTAGATTTTGGTTTCAAAAATATTCAAAACAGTTGGAATTTTTTCACTTTTCATCACATGGCAAAGTGTGAAGTATTGTTCTTATTTAGATGCAGCAACAAAAAAATTGATAGGAATGTCCAGAGCAAATTAGCAACAAAATCAAAACGTGAAAATCTGATGGTAGTTTTCACACATTTTTAAAAAAATATTATGATGAGTTTTGTTTTTCAACTCTTAGTATGCTCACAACTATCTGGTAAAGAAAGGCCAGTCGCCTGCAGACCGCGGACAGTTCAAGAGACAGCTGTACGACATCTGGTTTCGCCTCTACCATAGAGACAGGAGTGGAGGGTGAGTGTTGCTCTGACAGCAGGGGAATATTTTTAATAGTTAAAAAAAAATTATTTATTGTAAGATGTGAAGCTTTGTTCATCTGAAAGCTTACAAAACAGCAAAGTAAATTGGCGCTTTAGAATTTATCCAGAAAAAGGCTAAGAGTGCTAAATGTTTTCAAAAGTTAGCAAAGTCGCTAAACAAAAAATTATCTCTGCAATCAATCAATCAATCAATCAATCAATCAATCAATCAATCAATCAATCAATCAATCAATCAATCGAATTTTATTTGTATAGCACATTTCTGCAGCAAGGCATTTCGAAGTGCTTTACATAATTAAACACAAAAACACAGTCATGCAACATAGAATCAACAATCAAAAACATTAAATTTCCTGCCAAAATAAAAAAGAAAAAAAAAGAGGGGGGACTCCAACATGCACCCCTTTTCCAACAACGGTTTAAACTCGCATTAGCATTAGCTATACACTACTGTACGTAGGTTGTTTAGTTTACTGATTAGGAAGCTGACAGATATATTGTACGTGGTGCTACTGTTACTACACAATGCAAACTTGTTAAGGGGAAATAACTTTTGAAATATTTTAAAAATCTAATTTAATTAGTGAAGGAACAAATGCACTCTTTATTGTTTCAGAGAGGATTCTTGTGGCTTCGAACATGTGTTTGTTGGAGAGACCAAATATGGCCATGAGATCATGGGTCTGCACAACTGGGTGCAGTTCTACCTGCAGGAGAAGCATGGCCATGTGGACTACAAAGGCTACAAAGCAAGAGACAACAAAGACACGGTAAGAACATCACGCTGGTTTCCTGTTCAGTTAGGAAAAAAATTGAATTTTATTTAATCAATCAATCTGGATAAATATGGAAACAAGTGTGTGGGTCACCATGTTTGTATCTCCAGACATTATTCCCTGTACCATTGTTGGATAGACTGGTGTCATTTTTGACAGTAAATTCATAGTAAACCTTTGTATTCATGCTTGGGAAGAAATTGGTCCAAAAAGGACCAACATTTTTTTGCAGAAAATGTGATCAACTTGATCAGTATAAAACATCTAGAACAGTCCTCGAGGGCTACCACCCTGCAACTTTTAGATTCACCTCTGCTCCAAAATGTCTAAATTCCCTCACCAGCATTCATTCCTCTCTGCAATAGGCTGGATCCAGGTGTGTTTGAGCAGAGACACATCTAAAAGTTACAGGATGGTAGCCCTCGAGGACTGGAGTTGGTGACCCCTGATCTAGAAAGATTTTAAAGGGAACCATCACACAAATTTCACATTTTGGACATTTTTATACTTCCATTTGGGTTTTCTATTGCTTATAACAAACAACCAAGACCTTAAAAAGACACCCAGGTATTTTTGGGCAATAAGTTAATATATTTTAGTGTGTGGAAAATGAGCTGTTTCAAAAACTTCCCCATAAACTCACGTGTCGTTTCCTAGCAACCCCAGGCGAGCCCAGCCCATTACTTAGCAACCCAAGCTGAGCTCCAGCATGTTTGATCAGCTGGTTTTACAGCTCTATTCGCTGTACAATGGCTGCTGGAAAAGACAAGTGTTTTGTTGTTGACTTACCATTCAGAAACCACTTGCTACATTCTTGTTGATTGTGCAGGAGGCTTCAGTTCTGCTTTTCAAAGATGTATGGTTGTGTAATTGTGCCGTTTGCAGCTATTTTCACATTGAGAGTGTAAAGATTGAGTTTGGGGGTGTGGCCAGCAGCAGCTTATTTGGATTTAAAGTGACAGGAGGCAGTAACAGTTAATAGGCAGAACTGATCAGACTAAAATCTCATTTTCTAAGAATGAATTTTTGCAAATTAACATTATTTTGTATAACCCTAACCTGTTTCAGAAAGTGTAATGGTCACCTTTAAGCTCCATTAAACCATATTCTGTTTTGTTTTTTTCAGCCTGATGAGGATGACCATGTCCTGAACCTGCAGTTCAGCTGGAAAGGTTTGGTGAAGCCGGTTGGCGGCTCCTTCATCGGCGTCAGCCCAGAGTTTGAGGTCGCTCTGTTCACCATCATCTTCCTCATGTCGACTGAGAAGATGACGTCAGTGGTGGTGAAAGTGGACGAGTACGTGCTGGAGCTGGTGGTCTATCGGCAGGGCCGCTCCATCGGCACGTCCTACCCCAAACTGCTCAGCAGCAACAACAGAGATTTGTAATGTTACGGCCATGCTGAAAGAAATTCTGCTATATTACACTCTAATCATGGAGCAGGTTGTTTTACGTTCACTAAAACTTACTTGCCTTAAATATCTCTTAACCAGACGTTGACTGAAAATGAAGGATAAAATAAAGTAATCACATTTGTGTCATATGCTGCCACCCGTTACAGGATATGTATTTGTTATTCCTCTTATTTGTACTCAACTTTTAAGAGTCTTAATACTGGTATTTGCAAAGAGATTATGACTTTCATCTGGAGTTTCCTAGCGGTTAATTTCATCTCCAGTATTTTAGAAAATAATGTAATCTGCTTGTTTACTAGTAAAAGCTGACTGTGTATTTTCATTGAATAAACCTTCTTTTGTTCTGTTTTGGTATCTCTGACTCTGAAGGATTTTTTTGTTTTGCTTTATTGAAGTATATATTATTTTATTTTTAAATGCTCACTTAATGGATTTTGAAGAACATGGTAGACATGGTCTCTTCAGTTTTACATTTTGAAAAATTGGTTCTATTTTTAAACAATGTCATCTTAATGGAACAAAAAACGGGTGTATCATGGTTAATATAAATTATATGGAAATGCCTCACATTCTGATACATTGCACCTTTGACACTGTTAACCTTTTTCTTATTTTTTTTCTGTTTTCCAACTTTTCTTTGTTGTGCTTGAATACAAATACATTTAATGGCTTTATTGAGGGTGGCAATAGTGGCAGCAATGCCTGTCTGCTGGACAACTGTAACTTTCTGTTAAATCTTTTTTTTAATTAGTCCTCTGTGGTTCACAAAGTAATTTTTTTGTTAACTGTAATCTCTAATTATCCAAATTGACACAAAAACGACAGAAATATATTACCTGCAATTATGCGTAATGAGTCTTACTTTTGATATGAGTTCCTAAATATTACCAAATATTCTAAATTATATATTTTAGGTGTTAATAAAATTCTCCAATAACAGATAAATGTAATCTAACTAACGTAAATTTATGTAAAGTTTTTAATTCATGTATAGTTGCGTTCAGCGTTTTCTGCCTGTCAGACATGACTCAGGGCTGGACTTTCACCTTTAGCTGCTTTCGGACGCCCTCTCGCAATGCGCATGCGTATTCAAACAAGCGATGTCAAACCGCAGAAGCGAAGCTGTTCGTGTCATAACTACCTCATGAACTGGTGAATGGACAGGTAAACAGACACTCTACGCTGAGTTTATATTGTAATATTTAAGTTAATCACTGGCGTGAAGGCAACAAGTGGATTCTGGGTGTTAAATCAACTTTTAGAGTTGGTAAAAAGTAGCATGCTTGGCTAACAGCTTTAGCTCTGGTCAGTTGGCAGATCGTTGTCACACAGCGACGGTTGGGAGCCACCTGACAACCGCTCACATGATTTCAACTACTGCAACCGGAATAAAGACAGCAGAAAACAGGGTTTTATTTTATGTTTTAATGTGTTTTGATTTGTAGGTCTGGTTCGGATCAGACGGTTATCGCTGAAGGGTTTATTAAAAACAAAAAGCCTAAAAAAAAGGCAACATGTTTGGCAAAAAGAAGAAGGCACCGATGCCCAAAGGACAGGGCGCTGCTGCGGCCAAGCAGGTAACAACAACAACTTTAAAGCTAAAATTACGTTAAATACAACAGGGAGGTGATTTAAATGTTAAATCTGAAATGTGTGGGATTTTGTTTTTAGATGGGGTTATTTGTGGACTTGAACCCAGAGGAGATGATGATGGGTGCAGAGGAAAACCTAGACGACCCGGATCTGGAGGCTGAACTTGCTGCTCTTACTGGAAATAAAGCAGCTGCTAGAGGAAAAGCCAAGCCAAAGGGGAAAAGTGAGTTCAGAGCTTAACAATTGGAGTTTTGTAAACACACACGATGATTCTGAATGGGCAATATGTTACATTTTCTGTATATTTTTGCATCTTTTTCTAGGACTGTCACGATTACAAATTTAGCTGGATGATAAATTGTCCCAGAAGTTATTGCTATAAATGATAATATTGTTGTTTTGCCACCATTTTCAACTAATATAATGCAAGAACACATTCTCAAAGACCAATTATCTTTAAATTCTGTCATTTAATATTTAACACTGGGACTGGAAGACATTTTAAATATACAAAATAAATAAACAGAAACAACAAATACAATGAATTATAAAGTCTTTGTAAACAAAATTATCCTTCAAAAAAAGGGCTAGTTGAGACCAAAGCACCACACTGAAGACTTTTATCTTTCAGTTGTTGGTAGAAAGAGAGAAATGGTTGAGCTTGTTTTAATTTATCATGTGGTTAAGTGAGTTATTGCTTATTGTGACAGGCCTAGTTGCAATAAGTTTATTCAGGCATTAACATTTGTCCTAACTGATTTGTCCTAACATTAACATTTGTCCTAATTGATCCTGATACAAGAAAAAAATGTTTTCGCTATTGCAACAGTCAGATATTAGGTTTTTAGTATTGTTTTGATTTGCTGATTCCTCTGAAGAAACTATAAAATAAGAAGGTGACTATGGTAAGAATAGAGGCGACTTCACACTGTGTGCATGCGAGAACAGTCACTGTAAAGCATGGTTTATGGAATATGGAAGTCACATTTTTAAGCCATCTGTCGCATCTTATATTAGTGATTATTGATGTCAGTGCACCTAGCAGAGAATGTGGATCCTTACCTTAACTGATTTCCACAAGCTTGACATTTCTGAATCCATAACAGACCGACGCTGAGAACTAAAAAGAAAGAAGCAGAGCTGCTTTGCTGTAATATGTTAATTTCTTCCTGATATCTTGCAATCTAATGTGTCTTTGCAGCCGCAGTGAGCCACAGACATGTTGTAGAAAACACAGTTTCCTTTCCAGTACTTTCTTTCATTTTCCGGCTTCCTCTAACCTAATTTTTAACATCTGACTGATACCGAAATTGACTCTACCTTCAGTAAACACTTCCAACTTCATAAAGCTTATGAATGTTTGATTGGAGAAACGTTTGCTCTTTGAGTTTCTGACAGCTTGTTGACAGTCTCATTATGTTTACTGACTGATTTGTTTGCACATGTCTAGATCTTGTGTAATCACTACTACAAGAAGCCACTTTAGCTGACAAAGTTCACATTAGGGTTAATTTTAGAAAAGTCTGAGTGAGATATTATTATTGACTATTGGAGTGATGATGTCAGGTGAGATTTTTCCTAACAAATCCTATATTTTTGTTGTTTTATATTTGTAATAGTTCAAACAAAATATGCATACAGATTGTTTATGATACAAAACCTTTAATGGGTTCAACTGTATAGTCTTACAGACACGATATAACCAAAGTAAACAAGCATGAGCATCACTATTCATTCTTCTTCTTCTCTGTTTAATGGCTGCCACTTTGGTAGATAAGAGAAGGTAATTTTATTTACCTAGCACATTTTCAGCAACAAGGCAATTCAAAGTGCTTTACATGGATTTAAAGGAAATACAAACAAAATAACAAACCAACGGAAAGAAAAAAAAGAGGAAAAATAATCTAATGTTGATCTAAAGTATGTAAACTAAGTGCTCGTGTTCAGTCTTGCTAAGAATCCTCTGTCTCGGTCTAGTTCCATTTCTTGGTGGGGGAACAGGAGTCTAAGTATTTCTGGATTCTAAGTTTATAGTTATTCTTATTCTAATTCTGATTCCATTTCTGGTCTGTATAATATTGATTTAAATAGTGCGTACTCCACAATTTCTGATATTACTAGTAAACTAAAATAATCCTTTTCTGGGTTAAATAGGGAGTACTCCACCGTTTCTAAAACAAAAAAGAGGAAAGGACACATTAGGGCAAATTGCAACATTCAGACAAAACAATGGGCAAAACGAAGATATGAGTGAAAGCGGTGACATCAAAGGGCCATGAAACTAGGTTGCTGAGGCTCCTGGCAAAGTCCGATAGAGGTGTTGTTATCGAGGAATGATGTCCTTAGGAGTGCTCAGTTCCACAGCTCCATGGATACAGGAGGGGGTGAGGAGGGAAGATCATTATGTTTACATATCTTCAAGGAGATTGGAAATATGCAGCCCTTCCAAGGCAACATGGGGAAACCCAATTCAGATATAGATTGTCTTAGGTTGGGAAGATTATAAATTTCAATCTTCCCTAAAGTCTCTCCGATACATCTCAGTTCCCAATCATCCAAATTAGTTTGGTCGTTCCACTGAGCCGAAACTAGCAACTTCTCCAAGATCGATTCCAACTCGTTAGTGAGTTTGAGAGTCCTCGTCTCTGTCCACACCAACAGTCTGAGTGTTCGCTAGTTCGGCCAAGTCCATCACAAATTTGTCGATAATCCAGGAATCCACAAGCTCCAAACAGCAGAAATCCTGTTATCATGAATAAATCCAGGGTGAATCCTGCTGGGTGTGTCCCCGCAGGACAAGAGGGCTCTCCTGTGCCCAGACTTCTCGTCGAAAAGTTTATCAATTGCATT